GTGAACTATAAGGTTGGCAGTTCAAACCCAGCAACTGCTCCTCAGAAACCCTATATGGGGTTGCTGTGAGTCAAAGCCAACTTGACGGCACTTAACAACAGATTCTAACCAAATATGTGCGTAAATACTGATATAGCAATCATTGAAATGTTTATTAAATAAAAATATCAAAATGTGAAGCTACTGATTCTTGTCTTAGCCTCTATCTAAACATTTCTAAAAGTGGGGTTTCCATCTCTCTAACCCTTCCCCAAAGAATTCTGCACTCTTTGATTTATGTATGCCATGTCAAAATGGCAGTTTGGGCAATCTTGAGGGACTCAAATTGTATTCCTTTTTGATGTTCTTTGAGTTTGAGGAACAAAAAGAAGTCTGAAGGGGCAAGATGAAGTTGTAAGGTAGATAGGGTAAGGCTTCCTAATGAAATTCCCTCTAAGAACGAGCAGATGCATTGCTGCGCCATTCCGCAGCACAACTTCCCTGGTCTTTTTCTCACCAATGTCATTTTCAGTATACTTAAAATTTCTTCATAATAAGTTTCTGTGATTGTCCTGTGTCCTTCAAGAAAATGTGTCAAAATTACCCATTTGGACTCCCCTAAAACAGTCACCTTGCCCTTCTGAGCTGACTTCTCTGCCTTGAATTTAATGGACCCAACACATCCCCTGGAAAACCGCTATTTTAAATGGACATTGTTCTCTGGATCATATATAAATCCAAGACACATTCCCAGTTACGATTTGTTTCATAAAATTGTCTTCATTAGCTTGGGGGAGTTCTGGTAGTGTTGTTGTTGTTAAGTGTCCTCAAGTTGGTTCCGACCCATAGTGACCTGGTATAGATTTCCAAGGAGTGACTAATAAGCTTGCGCTGCCAACCTTGTGATTACAAACAACTTTGCAGTCCAGCACATTAACCCACAGTGCCACACCAGGACTCCTCTGGTAGTGCAAACCTTGCTTAATAGAGTAGGTTTTTGAGCTAGCTAATATTCACACAATGCTTTTGGCACTCATTGGGGTGCCAAAGATATTCTCTGAAAATTAAAACCACCAAACCATGATAGATCACAGTCAGATGGCTATGTATCAATGATAATTCTATAGTCTTCTTCCATCAGTCCCCGGCCTTCAGCCACAGTTTCTTCATTTGTCAAAGGTGATAGTCATCCCTCTCTTGGCTCATCTTTGAGATATCCTGAGCCTTCCTTAAAATGTTTGATCCATCTAGAAACTGTTATTCATAAACTTGTTGCAAAGCTCCAATGGCTTAGGAAAATGTCCACTTGAGTTTAATTAGAAAGTTGATATTAGCCATGACCCTTTTTTCTGAAGGTACTTGAATAAGATGAAGACAAGTTATTACTGAGAGAACTTGTCTACAGCCATCCACTGAGTAAACTTTTTCATGTATAAACCCAAACCGAGTAGCAATACTTTTGACTTACCACTGCATGTGCAGTTATCATGCTTTCTCAACCCCAAATCATAATGTATAAGGGGGTTCCAAAAAGTTAGTGGGAAATTTTTTATTAACGTTTAATTCCATCTTTCCATGAACCTTTTGAATCCCCTCACACTATCTGTCAAAGGATTTGGGGGCCACTTCAGGGAGTTGAGAAGATGTAGCTGGTATGCTAAAAAGGTGGAATTTTGCAGCTTTTCATCTGTGGAGTCAACAGATGAGAATTCTTGCTCCTTATACATTTTCAAATGTGCAAAAATATTTCAATTCTTCATACATGTAATGTTGTTGTTAGCTTCAGTCCCTGACTCATGATGGCCCCATGCACAGTGGGATTGGATCATTGTCATTCATATAGGATTTTTCATGGTTGGTTTTTCAGAAGCAGATTTCTGTCTCGTCTGTCTTAATCTGAAAGTTCCTCTGAAACCTGTTGAGCATCACAGCAAGCCACACTGACATGGTTATCACTGAATCACCCTTGCTGCCATACGCATAATGCTACCATCAAAAAGACATACGGAAGCATTCTTTAAACAGGTGGCTTATCCACTGACACTGAACCCAAAGCAATAGGATAGACTAGCTAATTTTATCCAGCCCTTTAAGGCAGTAGATATCTCTGGGAGATGGTTAAAAATGCTAGTTCTCAGGCCCTGTCCTTGATCTGCTGAATTAGAAACTTTGGGGATGGGACTCAGAATACATGCTTCTATAAGCACTCTAGGTGAGTTTGATGTCTACTAGAATTTGAGCATCACTCCTTAACAGCAATGACTTTACTCTGACATTGCTGTTAAGTGCCATTGAGTTGGTTCTGACCCATAGTCGGCCCTGGATAGAGTTTCTGGGAAATGGCTGGTGAAGTTGAAGCGCCGACCTTACGATTCAAACCGACTTTGTGTTCCAGTACCTTATCTCACAGCACCACACCAGGACTCACTCTGACATACACTCCCTGATTAAAACAGGAGAAATTTATTGAGCATCTACAGGTATGAACTAACTGCTTCCTTTAGAATGGAGACAGTTTAGATACCTGGGAATGGAGGGAAGGATGTATAGGTGAACAGAAGAGAACAAAATGGTGGATTTAAGTGGGGGAAATAGCTGAAAGATAGTCCTAATGTGGAGCTATAAGATAAGCGCTAGACTGGTAACTACAAGGTTGGCGGTTCAAACCCACCAGCCACTCATAGGAAACCCTATACAGGATCGCTATGAGTCAGAACCGACTCAGCAGAACTTCACAACAACAACAATACAACTAAACCAAAAAGGAAGACTGTTTTAATATGGTAATTTAATATGGTAAGCAGAACAAGAATAATCATGGAGGGGACAAAATCTATTAAAGAAGGCAAGATTTTATATTAGCTGAAAAAAACCAACCCATGACAATATGGCTTTATAATGGAGTTGGCTGAAAAATTATTGTTGTCCTCTCACCCCATTTTTTGTCTTGAATATAACATTTTAATTCCATAAATTAGTTATTAGCCTGAAAAAAAAAAATAAAGTGAAGCTGAAAGAGTAATTCATTAACATTTCTCTCTCTGGGAAATCTCATGACTCAATGCAATTTCAGTGCAGATAAATGTTAAAGGTGTAGATTAAGCATCATTTGCTTCGTTGGTTCCTAATATATTCCATATTCTCACAACTTCATGTTTGTAAGAGTTGTGTTGGAGACTAAAATGATTCTGTTAGAGTAAACATGTATATAATCTTGAGTTATATTAGTCTAAATGCTTGTTAGTTATCTTTATAGAAAATTAAAGGACAGAGGAATATTGCAGCAGTAAGCTATAATGATGTAACACTTTCTAAAACAAAAGCCTTTAATTTTCCATTGCAAATATCTACACTATAGGCAAACAACCTCATATGCTACCTGCAATAAAAATGTGTAGTAGGAAGAAACACCTAAATGGACTGTTTTAACAAAAGAATGAACATTTAAAGTATGCAGAATAATCGCACAAATGTAGAGCTTATTTATTTGAAATCTGTAGACCTCTGAACATTGTCCAGGCTTTCTGCTTATGTAATATCTATGAAAATGGAAGCTGGCTGTAAAAATTAAGAGAGTAAGCAATATGCAAAGTGGGAAGGAAGCTTAGATACTTAATACAGCAAACTTTCCAAACAGTACTTGTCTATACTGAAGTTATGGTGCCAGGAAATTCAGGAATAGGAAATGACTAGATGTTCTTTCAGAAGAATGCTGAGCTGATTTTCTAATGATTGTGTGATTTTACAACTCTGCAAAGGTAAAGGTTAACTTCTAGATTTTTGTTCAGAACAGATGAAAATCATTTCTCTCTAGTGGCAAAAATAAAGTAAAAAAGTTACAGTTTATTGCCCTGCTGAACATTAACCAGCTTGGTATCTCATCCAGTGATTTTATTTTAATGTTCCTTTATTAAATTACTTATAAATGCCTAATTTCTTAAATGTTCTTTAAGCTGGTTTCCACATATTGTTGGTTCCTCATTAAGTAATGAGTTCAAGATCACTTCAATGTCCATTTTATATTTGTGTGTGTTAAGATTCTGCCTTCTAGAAAATTATGCGTTAATGTTATTGCTGTTAAGTGCTGTTGTTAAGACCCTGTATACGGTTTCCAAGGATTTAAAACTTCCAGGGAGCAAGTAGAAAGTCTCCTCTTCCTCCCTTGGAACAGCTGGCAGGCTTTGTGGCTCACAGCCCAGTGCTTACTGTATGAAGCCACAACACTCCTACTGTGATAATGTATCTGTTGTTAAGTGCTGACACCCTGAATAGGATATCTGAGGGGTGACCAATCTTGTGGTCCAAACCGACCTCGTGGTGTAGTCCTTATCTGACAGTACCACACCAGGAGACCCACTTTAGTAATAGTGAACTGTAATATTTCTATTTATTAAATAGCTCAGAGGATGCTAGCCAAACAATATTTCCAAACCACTAAATAAAGTTGATTTTTGTTTGTTTGTAATCTTACAAAGTCACAAAATCGACTCTACAAAAGTATTCCAAAATCCAAATTTCATGATTTCTCCGCATTAGAATAAATCTGTAAAGTTTGTAGCCTCAATATGTTTAATGATCATCTGGATGTTGTGCCTAATGTGGTACAAGCCTGTGATGTGTTCTTTTGCTGTGGTGCCTAAAATCTCATGTTAAAAAAACTAAGCGACAGCAACAAGTACATTCCTCAAAAATAACCAAGATTATAGCCAAATACGTCATAGCAAGAATAAAAGGTGAAACAACCACAATGGAATTAAAGAGAAAGCTGACTCTTTGTGAAACAAGTAGCTAATGTCACTGAATAATCTGTGCAGACATTGTCAAATGGAAATCTACACATAAAGACACACATGTTTTTAAAAGAAGAATACAAATTGTTATCTATCGGGGAGAAAGGGAATTGTTAAAGGGCAGCATTATCAACAGGATGCAAAAACAAAAACATCAGACATGCAGTTTCTTCCAATTCATTCCTGAAATGCAAGCTAACATCATGCCAGCGGCTAAAGGAAAACCGAGCCTTACTTAGCTGATTCTGATGCTTCCCTCAGTTCTTCATCCAGTCTGCACAACCAAAAATTATCGTCAGAGAAAAGAAACGAAAAGAAGCAAGCAGAGCATGAGAGAGTCACCAGCAAAGCAGAGCCAGACAAGTGGAGAGATACGTTTGTACTGGAGTACTGGGGATCACTCCTTCACTTAAATCTGAGGCCATTTCCTCCCGTTCAGTATATATATATGCATATATATATTTGCAAATTCCTTCCTATGGAAGGTAAAAAAGTTACAGAAGGATCAGAAACATGCTGTCTTAGTAAAGCTGAGAACCTCCAAATCCATCTGTTGAGTACTGTTCAAGTGAGTTTGCAGCCGGGCGGGCCAAGTTAGGGATGGAGCTGGCTTAGTAGGTTTCAGTTGCAAATCAGGTTGACCTCAACAGCTTTGGACACAAGACAAAGATGGGTATGGTAAACAAGGAACTGATACGATGCCTTCCTACACTGTAGCGTGTTGAGGTCACCCACAAGTACAACACTGGTGCACACACACAGAGGGTCCAGGTGAATTGTAGATCAGGAGATTTTACCTCACACTTCTCTTATAAGATCTCTCTTCATCGTACCTTATGAGATAAAAAAATGGATGCAGTGAGGAAAATGAGCAAACAAGGAAAAATGACAGGTAAATGTTTTAAAGGAGAGTCAAAGCATGAGAGAAGAAGCTCACCCAAACGATGGTCAAATTGCCCTTTTGGAGAAATATGATTTTCATTAGATATAATCAATGGTTTAGAATTGTCAACTTAATTATCAGTGTGATTCCAGGTTGGGTAGCCCCTTTGATGACAGACTTCATCCTGGCTGAATACTCCAATTTGATCAGATTATCTGATTGGCTGAGATCAGGCTCTTGGAGTGTTATTTAGTAATAGGGAGGAGCTCTGTCTTGTATCAATTTAAAAGTGGCATAATGTGAAAATGAGATAGTGAGGGTCAATTTAAAAACATGGCAGAAGAGATGGATGAAGAAAGATAGAAGAAAACATGGACACCTGGGAAGAACACACATAAATCTCCAATTTTCCCTCTGAAACAAAGTGCAGATATGTGCAGAAGCACTGACTGGGCACTGTCCCACTGCATCCTGGTCATATATATATTAATAGAAAGCAGATCCCCTTTTGCTGATTTGTTGTTGTTAAGTGCCATCAAGTCGGTTCCGACTCATAGGCAACCCTGTACAGGGTTTCTAAGAAGCGGCTGTTGAGTCTGAATCCCCGGCCTTGTGATTCACCAACCTTGCAGCCAAGTGTTTTATCCCACAGCACCACACCAGGAAGCTAAAACCCTCACACCCCCAGAGTACATGAGAACTAGAGCTCCCTAAAATGCCCTCCTCTTGGAGATAATCCCTCCCCCTGGTGTCATTCATCCATCCAGAAGCCATGCAGTCTCTCACTCCCACAGGGCAGTGTGCAGCTATGATGGTCCTGCAGAGCTGGGAACTCAGGGGGCTCCCAGCAGGGGTAGTAGTGGCTGCACATGATCAGAAAGTATCACACTAAGAGGGCAGCAGCAGCCAGGGCCACCACCACCAGACGTGTGCTCTGACTCCCACACACCTGCTCCCTGGGGCCACATCTCAGCAACCTCCAACCCACCCACAGGCCCCTGGACCTGTACAAAGTCCACATCCTGTTGTCAGTCCAACCCTAGCCTAACCACACACCTGGCAAGGCCGGCCTCCTGTATCCAGTGAATACAGCTCTTGGGGCTTTGTCCTGCACACTTCTTTATTTAATGTAATAGGCTTTGCAGGGATTTAACTAAGGATTGTATGGGGACTGCCTGTACATAATAACAAAACGTCCTATTTCACAAAACACACTGTAGACATTAAGCAATTCAGATCTGTATTTCTAAATGGAATCCTTCCTCCTGAAGTAAGTTTTCCCAAATGGAGTCCCTGAAAACTAACAAGCACTATGTATGGATGAATGAGTTCTCAGTTAAACTTTCATATGATAATGCGTTTCTAAAAGCAACATGATCATAACAAATAACATTTTGCATTGCCAACTCTGTGCCAGGTGGCTTTCTAAATGCCTTATATGTATAATTGCTCTTATTTAGTCCTCAAGACAGTTCATGAAGCATGCCTTGCTTCTCCACTTCACAGATGCTAAAGCAGAGTCCTGGTGTGGCACTGTAGGATAAGTGCAGGACCTCAAGGTCAGTTTGAACAACAAGGTCGGCAGTTCAAACTCACCAGCCGCTCCCTGGAGACTCTATACAAGGTCACTATGAGTCAGAACTAGCTCCAGGGCACTTAACAATAACAAAACTGAGATTCAGGGAGTTTTAATAGGTTGTCTAATAATTTTAACAAAGTCTCAGAAACACTAAGAGGTAGGAGGGAAGGTTCAAATCTAATACTCCACAGCCCATCCTTCTCTTTTTTTCACCCTTATTACCTCCAACTGCCACACCATAGAAAATATTTCTGCATTCACCAGCAAAGTGTCCAGTGCTCCCTTCCATTGGAAGAGAGAATGTTTTTGTCATCTTTTGCAAAGAGAAACAGCATTATAATATGTGGATGTTCTTTTTTTCTCTTAAATGTAAACCAGACACTGGCAAGTCAATTCTGACTCATGGCAACTTCATGTATGTTAGAGTAGAAGTTTGTTCCATAGGGTTTTAAATGGCTGATTCAATTGAGCCAGCTGCTTGGTTTAGTTGAGCCAACTGACCACGATAAGTTCAATGGGCATCCTCCCAGTGAGTACCCAGTGTCCATGTCCACTTTTTGAATGTAAGAAAACCTAATGTGTCCACTCCTGAGCTTTTGATTTTGATGAATGCTTTCAGGGAATCAAAGGAATGTATTAGAAAAAGGCATGGAGATTTTGGAGCCAGGCGGTCCTAGATTTTCATTCTAGTCCCATCTTTTTCTGGCTGTGTGACTTTGCATAAGTAATGGCTCTTATTAAGTTATTTTCCCCTCATCTGTAAATGGAGGTTCACTGTGGGCATGAGATAAATGATAAAGCAGCACCTCTATGCCCAGCACAAGAGACATACATTCAATGAGTGTCCCTTTCCCTCCGGCTCTTGTGCAGTCTTGTCACGTGATGAGATTCTTTTGGAATCCCAAATTGGGAGGTCCATTTTGCTATCCACCTTATGGAAGAAGATGGAAGACACGAGTGGATGAGACACATTGGAAGAGAAGACATGGCACATAGAAAACATGGAGTCTTTGCAACAATGAACCAAGTAAGAGTACTCATCATCTGGTATAGTGTTTTTACAGCTCAGCTCCAAGCAATTGTTCAGTTAGCATTTATGTTATGACTTTTTGTCGCAATCCTGAGCCCTTCTGTGCCTATGCTATCGTCATGCAAACAGCAACAATGCTACCTCTTTCTAAGCAACAGTGTTGGATTACCCAATCAGCAAAGTAAGCACAGGCTTACTTGTGATTATTACTAATCTGTAATGAAAATTTTCACATTTTCCCACCACATCAAAGATTCTGATTGTAGACCAGGCTGTTAACTGTCTCTCTCCCAACCTCATAGCACCTGCCTACAGAATCAAAGTCTCTTTTCAAATGTACAATTCTTGACAGGGATGGAATACCCGGTAAGTAAGTTACGTGTGGACTTATTTGTGCTTACTTACAAATCTGTAGTAAGCAATCTCAAGTAAAATTGTTGACTATGCATTAGTAAGTACAAGTAAACCCCTGTTTATGTTGCTTATTGGGAAACCTGTCCCTGATGAGCAAAAACAAAACATTACAACCAGCCCACCCACCACTGGGCACACACCATCTCTCTAATCCTTCCTTAACCTGAAGGGAACCATGGGAAAAAAGGATTTAGAAGAAAACAGAAAGGGCAATGTGTTTCTATTTTTCTTTGGTGATACTGATAAATTACTCTCTGTGAGACAGTAAAGAAATTCAAGCCGTGCTCAAATCCAACTTGGTCTATGTGGGGTGCGGGCCATCCGGAACAGATGAGCTGATTCATGTGAAATTTAAGCTTTCTTTAAAAGGGTTGTAAAATTCAAGGTGACAATTAGCAACAATCAATTGTACCAAAGAAGAATATAGGAAAGGGGATCTGAAAGAAACAAAACAATTAACTGCAGGTTATAATAGAAAGTGTATTTATTGGCAGACATCTAATTTTTGTTTTAAAAATAAGAGCATGCCCTTTCTCCACCACTCCAGAGTAAGTGTTTTCCTACCCTTTCTCTAAGCATGAACTGTTTATTACCGAATCCTCTAAACCGCCCAGACTTACTTGAGGATGCTTTCTGGGATGTGGATACAGTCCATCGGGATCAGTCCACTGAGTTCTGATAAGCTACTGACATATTTAATTTTGCTGCTGAATTTTGAACTAAAAAGGAGAGAAAAAAAAAAAAATTACCATGAGTTACTCTTTCATCCCTCCTAAAGCCGCTGTGTCTTCTAGATATCACTTAACAGCTTGCCACAGCACTATTAATAAGAAGAAAAACAAAAAAACCAATCTTGTTGTTATTGATTTGATTTCAACTCATAAAGATCAAACAGGACAGAGCAGAACTACCTAAAAGGGTTCCCAAGACTGTGATCTATAAAGATCTTCCATCAAACTGCTGCTGGGTCCGAACTGCAGACCTTTTGATTAGCAGTTGTGTGATTAACCACTGAAGCACCAGGACTCCTACCCAGTTACTATATGAAAAACACTTACAGGTGTGTCTGACGTATAGTATCTACTCAAATAATTTAGCTTTTCTTCTTATTAAGGAGTCCTGGTGGAGCTGTGGTTAAGAACTCTGCTGCGAACTGAAAGGTGGGCAGTTCAAACCCATCAGCCATTCTATGGGAGAAAGGTATGGTTGTCTGTTTCTGTAAAGAGTTACAATCTTGGAAACCCTGTGGAGCAGTTCTCTCTTGAGTCAGAATTGATTTGACAGCAAGGGGTTTGGTTTTGTGTGATTTTCCATCGGAAAGTGGTAAAGCCTGGGTCTGAAGTCAGAAGGCAGACTGTAGAGCCCACACTCATGAACACACCTTGCTCAGTCTCTCCATGGTTCTTTGAACCCAGAGTGGGTCCTTTGGATCCAGGCTGTGACCGTTGGGAAGTCAATCGACAGGCCTATCTTCTGAGGCACTTCTTTCTGGGTAGATCTGCACTGCACACCTTTAGATTAAAACTGAGTGCTTAACTGTTTACAACATTTTGTTGTTGTTAAGTGCCCTCAAGTCTATTGCGACCCATAGCGACCCTGTTGAGGGTTTCCAAGGAGCAGCTGGTGAGCTTGAACCACCGACCTTGCTGTTCAAACCACTTTGCAGTCTGACGCATTGGCCCACAGTGCTACACCCTGACTCCTTACACCATTTTAGATGTATGTAAATTCATAGAAGACAATTGAAAGAAGATACCAATAAAACTGATGATAACAATTACCTCTGGGAAAGAGGATTAGGAACAGAAATTGATAGGTAATGAAGGAAGAATTTGTTATTATTTGCAATGAATAAATATTTTATAATAAGAATACATTTCTGACACTGCTGATGGAACTGCAAAAATGGTGCAACCACTGTGGAAAACAGTATGTTGCTTAAGTTGTAAATAGAAATACCATACTACCCAGAAATCTTTCTGCTTGGTACACATTTCTCAAGAAATAAGTGCCATAAAATGAACAGATATATATACACACCCATGTTCATTGCAGTATTATTCACAACAGCAAATAGCAAAAAGATGGAGACAGCCTAAATGCCTATCAACAGAAGAATGGTTAAATAAACTCTGGTACATACACACAATGGGGTACTATACAATGATAAAGAATAATGACGAATCTGTGAAACACCTCATAACCTGGATGAACCTGGAGGATGTTATGATGAGTGAAATTAGTCATTCACAAAAGGACAAACATTGTATGAAATCACTATTGTAAAAAGTCAAGAAAAGTTTTTATGCTAAGAGAAGCATTCTCTGATAGTTATCAGAGGTGGGAGGGAGGGGAGAATATTTACTAGCTAGAGGGTAGACACATGTTAACCTGGATGATGAGGAAGGCAGTTTAAAAAATTAAGAAAAAAAAGTGAAAAATAAATGTCTACAATATAAAAGAAAAGAATGCATTTCTGTATTATTTTAAAAGATACCATTTTCTAAAATATATCTGATTTTGAACTCATTACACTTGGAAAGGCGATTGATCAAGGATCTAACGTTCTTGAATGGTTTGAAATGGAAAGTATACTGCGATCATGCCGTGCCATCTGCCAGCTACTGTGCACTCTAGTAAGAAGCTTTCACTAGGTCATTTATCTACACATCTCTCTTTGATATTTTACTTCCAGTTTTGTCCCCTGGGTCATTGACTCTGACTTTTGAAAGGTTATCAACCTTCCTCTTAACACAACCACTTCTAGTCTTCCTGATAAATCTTGGGTGAACACACTGTCAATGATACACTACATTAGGCCTTTTTCTTCCTCTGAAGTTTTTGGGTTAAAATTACGTTTCGATAAAACACAGAGTAGTTGGAATGAGGAAGAGGAAGAGGTCATGCAAGGAGATAAACCTCTATCTGCAGTGTTCTGATCACTTGACCTTAAGTGCTCTACACATGGTGTCCCTGGTGAGGGAGGTGTGGGGTGCAGCCTTCAATGGGTATGTCTTAGTTATTGAGTACTGCTATAACAGAAATACCACAAGTGGATGACTTTAACAGACAGAAATTTATTCTTTCACAGTTTTGGAGATTAGAAGTCTCTGTGTGGGCTCGGGGGTGGGGTAGGTCCTTATCTCCTTTCAACATCTGTGGGCCCAGCATCCCTTGAAGATCTCCATATGTTTGGTATTTACCTTCCCCTGGGTCTAGGAGGTTCTCAGTGCAAGGACTCTGGGTCCAAAGGACACACCCCACTCCTGGCTCTTCTTTCTTGGTGGTACTCAGGTCCCTCCCGCTTACTTCTCTCTTTTTATCTCTTATAAGGTAAAAGGTGATGCAGGCCACACAGGGAGAGGCCTCTGACATTGGATCAGGGATGCGGCTTGAGTAAAACCATTACATTCCACCTTAACCTCTTTATGACGGACTGCCTGATTGCAGTAGATCACATTGTAGGGATGCCAAATCACTGAGAATCATGGTCCAGCCAAGATGACACGTATATTTGGGGATGTAATTCAATCCATGACAAATGGCGTGATTGGAGAGGGTGACACCAAAATTACCATCGATATAATTTTGTGCAGTGTTTCAGTGGAAATTTATTATTTTTAATTAAAACTATCCCTTTAAATTGTAACAACGAAAACTCCACATTTTTTCAAGAGTCCAGTTCCATATATCAATATACCTACTATATACATATTGTTGTTGTTATTAAGTACTGTCGAGTCAGTTCAAACCCATAGCAACACTGTATAGGGTTTCTGAAGAGCAGCTGATAAGCTTGAACCTTTGACCTTGTGGATCAAACTGACTTTACGGTTCAGCACAGTAACCCACAGCACCACACCGTACTCTATGCTGATCTGGGAGTGCAGTGACTCCGTATGATAAGCACAGGACTGTGAACCACAAGGTCCATGGTTCAAGCCCGCCAGCTGCTCTATGGGAGAAAGATGAGGTTCAGAGAAGATGTTAAGCCTCGGAAACCCTACACAGGGTAGCTAGTAATCAGAACCAACCTGATGGCATTTAACAACAATGTGAATTTATTTCTAATGTGCTCTGCTCAGAACTGTCTTTAACAGTCAAATACAATGCTGCTGCAAATGACATGGTTTTGGCTGCATGAACTATAAGCACTCATTGTTATCTTTGGTGCAGCCAGTTGCAGATTCTCAGCCTTTGCTCTTTATGTTGCTGTTAAGTACTGTATAGTCATTTCTGACCCATAGTGATCCTGTATAGGGTTTCCGAGGAGCAACCAGTGAGCTTGAACCATCGACCTAGTGGTTCAAATCGACTTTGCAATCCCCCAATGGAGTCCTGGTGTAGTCCCGTAGGATAAGCATTAGACCACAAGGTTGTTTGAATTGCAAGGTCAGCAGTTCAAATTTACCAGCTGCTCTTTGGAAACTCTATATAAGGTTGCTATGGGTCAGAACCAACTTGATGGCACTTAACAACAATAACAACAATGTGCTTCAATTTCATCCTGTATATCATTGTTTACTTGTCTGCCTATATCTGCTGCTTGGCTCTGAGTTCACTGGGGACAGCAACTGTGTCAATTAATTGCTCAGCCTCCAGCACCTAACCTAGTGCTTGGCATAGACAAAGAAATCATTATCAAATGAATTTGTCACATACCCGTAGCGCAGATGTTATTCTTTTGTTGTTATCCAGTGTTTTTGAGTTGGTTCTGACTCATAGTGACACAGTATAGGGTTTCCAAGGAGCGGCTGGTGAGTTTGAACTGCCGACCTGTGGTTAGCAGTCCAGTGCTTATTTGACAGCATCATATCAGGATTCCTTTTTACTGTTACTGTTAAGTGCCACTGAGTCAGTTCCAACTTATAGCAACTGATAGTATAAGGTTACCGAGGAGCAGCTGGTAGGTTTGAACCACCGACCTTTCAGTTAGCAGTTCAGTGCTTATTCTACAGCGCCACACCAGGATGCTTAGGAGTCTTTTTTAAGGTCTAAAAGTTGATTAACTGATTCAAAGGCGGGATCTTAAAGACTTTATTGTTCAAACTGCAGAAAACAATGGCTAAGTACTTGAAATGCTTATTCTTTAATTATCAGGCAATTGGTTGTGTTTCTTAGATGTGGGGTCAATAAACAGTTCAAAGTCTGTAGTAGCCTATGAGCTAACGATGATTTTTAAACTAAAAAAAAAAATTTTTTTTCAGTGCTCTTTTAGAAAATATCACAAAAGAATTATTTTGTGACATTAAAAAAACATATACAAGTAAACAAAATTTTATTTGAATATAAGAACATTTGTTGCCAGTTTGAACCTACCTAGTGGCTTTATGGGGTTATGAGTTGGACTGCTAACCTCAAGGTTAGCAGTTTGAACCTACCAGCCATTCTGTGGGAGAAAGATGAGGCTTTCTGCTCCTATATAGATTTACAACATTGGAAACCTTATGCAGGGTCGCTAAGAGTCGGAACCAACTTCATGGCACACAGCCACCACTACCACTATATGATTACACCTCAATGCAAAAGAAAACAAAAATCTTTACAACTGGATGAATGAATAATATGATAAAAATTTTATTTAAATAAAATGATAAATGAAAAGGAGATTAAATTTGTCAAAGACCTCAATTTCCTTGGATTCACAATTAATGTTCATAGAAGTAGCAGGCAAGAAATCAAACAATGTACTGAGTTAGTTAAAGCCGCTGGGGGAAAAAAAAAAACACCTCTTTAAAGTGTTAAAGTGCAAAGATGTGAATTTGGGGACTGAGTGGGCCTGACCTAAGCCAGGGTATTTCCAGTTGCCTCATATGTATGTGCAAGTTGGGCAATGAGTAAGAAAGACCGCAGAAGAATTGATGCATTTGAATTAGAGACGTATATTGAAAGTATCAGAAGAGCAAACAAATCTGTGTTGGAAGAAGTATAGCCAGAATGTTCCTTAGAAGCTAGGATGGTGAGATGGTGAGAATTCGTTTCTAGTATTATTATATTATCAGAAGGGACCAGTCCCTGGAGCAGGACACCATGCTTAGAAATGTGGAGGATCAGTGAAAAAAAGAAAGACTTCTAACAGATGGAGTGATATAGTGGCAGCAACAATGGATTCAAAAATAACGAGAATGAGGATTGCTCAGGACCAAGCAGTGTTTCGTTCTGTTGTACGTGGGGTCATTAAGATCCAGGACCTACTCGATAGCACTTACAACAACAAGTGGCTCTGTGAGAGAAAGACGTGGTGATCTGCTTCCTTAAAAACTGCAGCCTAGAAAATACTATGGGGTAGTTCTTCTCTGTCACCTGGGATTGCTACGAGTTCTAATGACTCAACAGTGCACAGCAGGAATAATAAACCCTTTATAAACCAATAACGTCCAAATAATTCCTATTCCCTTGATAAAGTATTTTGCATTATTGTTAAAATAAGTGGTTTTTTAAAAAACATACTTTAAATATTTCTTCATTTTTCAGATTCTTTTTTTTTAAAGGCAGTAACATTTTATGGCAAAGGATTAAACTTTGCAGAGAGAAACTGGACTGAATCCTGCTCCTTAACTGTTGGAAGTAGAGATGGGGAATGCTAAGTATAAGGGCACATTGAACAGGTAGAAGCTAGGTGGTACAGGGAAATTTGTGCAAAAAGATAATACGGATTTTACCCTCTATTGTTTTTTCTCCAGAATTCCTTGGGAATTTATCAATACCTTAGAGACAGGAAAATATGATCGATTTAAAGACTTGTCTAAGCTGTGTGGCGCTGTAGGATAAGCACTGCACCACAAGGTTGGTTTGAACCACAAGGTCAGCGGTTCAAACGCAACAGTTACTCCTTGGAAACTATATCCAGGGTCACAAAGAGTTGGAACCAACTCCAAAGGAGCTCTGGTAGCGTAGTGGTTATGAATTGGGCTGCAAACTGTAAGGTCAGCAGTTCGAAACTACCAGCGGTTCTGCGGGAGAAAGATGAGACGTTCTGCTCCCGTAAAGACTTACAGCCTCGGAAACCCTGTGCAGGGTCGCTATGAGTCGGAACCGACTCCACGGCACATAACAACAACAACAACAACAACCATAGGACTTAACAATAATAACAATAGTAACTTTAGGCAAGACTGTATTCTATTATTAAAGTGTTCTAGAAAGTCAAAAATATATCAACTCTCAATGATATCATGTGGATCTCTTACTTTTCCCTGCATCCTGAAAATGTGAAGTAATAGACCACCTAACACAAGATAGGGAACATGGTCACTCTCAGGAGACGCACTGGACATTGAACCACAAGGTCAGCAGATGGAGCCCATTAGCGACTCCAAGGGAGAATGATGAGGCTTTCTGCTCCCGAAAAGATTTCCAACCTTGGAAACCCAGAGTTGCTAAGAGTCAGAACCAACTCGATGGCATCTAATAACAAGAACAACATAAGGTAAGTGCTAATATATACTCACCATGTTGAATATATAGAAGAACCCGCATGGATTTTCAAAACACAGCTCTCAAAATTATCAACCTCGACCATATATTTATTTAGGAGAAATGGAGCACACAAGGTAAGGTCTAACTCCTGTTTCTGTCCCTGGCTAGTCTTTATTTTCCATCACCATTTCACTCTCTCTATTCTACACTCTATAAAATAGCATCACTTCAAAATTATTATCTGTTGTTCTTCCTAATATGGAATAGAAACCCACCACTTCATCCCCTTGTTTATTGCAGATAATTCAGAAGTCCTATTCTGGAGTCCTGGTGTGGCGCTCTGGGATAAAGTGCTGGACTGCAAGGTCACTTTGAACCATAAAGTCAGTGGTTCAAACTTACCAGCCGCTCCATGGAATACCCTATACAGGGTTACTATGGGTCAGAACCGAATTGACTGCACTTAACAACTAACATTCTTGAGTCCAGGTGTGGCACTGTAAGACAAATGTTGGTGGTTCAAACCCACCAGCCACTCCTTGGAAACCCTACACAGGTTCACTATGAGTTGGAAACGGCTCTACTTTACAGTACTTAACAACAATAACAACATTCTGGAGTCCTGGTGTGGCAGTATAGGATAAGCACTGATCTACTAACTGCAAGGTCGGTGGTTCAAACCCACCAACTGTTCCTCACAAATAGTATACAGGGTCACTATAAAGTGGAACTGACTCGACAGCCCTTAACAACAACAACATTCTATAATGCACTGGCTGCTAACCACAAGATCAGTGATTCAAGCCCACCAGCCACTTCATGGGAGAAAGATGAGGCTTTCTGATCCCATAAAGATTTATAGTCTCAGAAACCCTACATAGAATCACTCTAAGTAAGAATAGACTCGATGAGAGTCGGTCTGGCTTTTGGATGGTTGGTGCTGTAGAATAGTGCAGGCCACAAGGTCAGTTTGAACCACAAGGTCAGTGGTTCAAACTCACCAGTCACTCCTTGAAAATCCTAAACTGGGTTGCTGTGGGTTGGAACCAACTCGACTGCACTTAACAACATAATGATCAGAAGGAAAATATTCTCTATGCAACCATTCTTAATTAGGAACTTCTGATGGATAATCCGAAGTATCTTTCTAGGAAAGAAGGAAGCAAAACAGACTGTCCTTTAGTTTATGACATACTGTTTACAGGACAATGAAGACATATTTTTAGAGACTATTAGTAATACGTTTATAAGTATACCTTATAAAAGGCCGTGTCACTGCAAGGATTGTTCTGATGAACCAAGAAGGATGAACAATAATGAAGGACTTTAAATTCTTCCTCAATCTATTTTGAAAAAAGAAAAAAAAAAGTTACTCCTCACCCCTTTCACTGGGAATTAAAATAGAAACTATAGCCTTAAAGAAGAATATATTTAATTTTAACTCATGCTAGACAAGTTACTATTATCCACTAGGACCATATAAAATGACCATGTTTAACAAAAAGAACACTTTTTGAGACAATTCAAAATTTGCATAATCCAAACATAATTTTCCAATAAGAACAAGTGTAAAATAGAATGACTGTATGCTTAGAGTACATTCATCTGTAGCTAACATGACATATTTTGGTTTAATAATGCTTTTTATATTTGTCAACATTATCTTGACTCTTAATAGCAACTCAGACAAGCTATCTGATCTTACTGGGTCTTTGTTTCTTCTATATAAAGAAAATAACAAGAGTATATCATGGCAGTCGTTTGACCTTGATATTGTTGTGTGCCATTGCATTGGTTTCAACTCATAGAGACCTTGTATAAGGTTTCCAAGAGCAGCTGGTGGTTTGAACTACTGACCTTGTGGTTATCAGTCCAGTGCTGATCCTACAACACCAGATGAGGGCTCATATCTTATGGCTTTAAGATTAGGATTATTTAATGTTGGTGATTTTCAGGCACATTTCTCAGCACCAGCGACACTACTTACGAATAGTTAGATTATAAAATGGATTATTTAAGTAGCATACCAGTTAGGGTACACTTGTTGTTACACAAAGAACCACATTTAACGGGACGCCACATGCATCACTGACATCAAATTCATGTATATTTATTATAACAATTTCCTTTCAGATGGCAATAAATGTTTTGTTCTAATAAAATCAGTATGGATTCCAGTTCACACATAGGCACTATATGGACCAGCAGCTAGCTTTCACTTGGGTTAACAATGAATTCTGAAGTAAGAGCATCATGGCCAGATCACAATAGTTTCAATGCACATAGACAGTATAGGATCACATGACACCAACAGAGAATCATGGGTATTTTGGTTGACTAGCTCAAGGTGCACCGCCATGGGCAAATAGCATAGGTGCAGTTTAAAACAGACATTGTCTTTCAGGTTTGTGATCATATATTTAGAAAATCTTGGGAGGATTTGCTTTATTTCAAATTTGGGTTACTAAGTGATACATAGATTGATATTTTTATAATTTATTATTTCCAATATGCATACATCAAATGTTCATGTTATTGCACCTTTGGAAGATCGTTGTTGTTGTTAAGTGTCATTGAGTCATCTGATCAATGTTGTTGTTGTTGTTGTTGCTAAGTGCCGTCGAGTCATTTCTGACCCATAGAGACCCTGAACAGGGTTTCTGAGGCTGTAAATCTTTACAGGAGCAGAAAGCTTCATCTTTCTCCTGCGGAGCAGCTGGTAGTTTCGAACTACTGACCTTGTGATTCACAGCCCGATTCGTAACCACTACGCTACCAGAGCAATAGTGACACTGTATAGGGTTTCTGAGGAGCAGCTGGTGAGCTTGAACCACTAACCTCATGGTTCATACCAACTTTGCAGTCCAGTGCATTAACCCACAGCGCCATACCGGACTCCTCAAGGGGCTTAAATGCGGGGGCTATTTAGGAAGCTAAAATAGTGATTCAACAATGGTGTCTGCATACCTTCTATCAATCATCTGGTAGCATTTCTTCATCCAGCCTAACCCTGGCATCTTCCGTCTTGGAGTTGCGCCATTCAAATATACAATCATATAGTCCTCAGCTACCATCAATTCCAAAGTACTTATTACATATCTGTTCACAGGAAGGAAGAGGAGTGTTTTCAGTTTTCACATGAAATTCCCCATTCTATTTACACCATAATTCTGTAACATTTCAATTATAGGGTGTATGGCATTTAAGAATAGTTGTATATATTACCTCTTCACCTTGAGAAGAATGTAGTTACCTACTATGATGATTTCTCTGAGAGTGAGTGTCGCTCAGTTATTTTTATGATTATGGTTATCCTTTTATTATTTTTTAAATGCAGGTACACTAGTAAAATGGTTAGGTTAGAAATCTGACTATCAACACTGTCAACAATGTTATCAAACACTAAGGGCAACTGTGATTAAGCAAGGTCAGAGAAAAACAAAGTCAAGTTATTGTCAATGGACCAAGAATAGGTTATCAGGGGACAAAAACAATACTTTACCCAAAAGAAATGTTACAGAATTTTTAAATGCACGCCAAAATGTGTTCATTTTGTTTTCAATCCATTCTATTGACCAAAGAGCTCCTTTAAAGGTTTTAGGCTCTTGAGCCATGTTTTTCTTGACAGATGTTTCATTCACTTTTTATCAAAGCCTTCAAATATTCTCCTTTAATTAAAGGTTCTGCAACTGCCACTTCATGCCCACAGCTATGAATTCAAAGCACTTTGTCGTAAGTATCACTCACAGGAAAAGATTTTCCATGACATAGTGGTAATCCGCCCGACTGCTGTCTGGCAGAAAACAGGCGGCAAACACAATGATGGCATTTAGACCGTCCCCATAGTATCCTGGGGGACAAACAAAAAGACATTTGTAACCAATTGAAAGCTTTTAACAAGGTAATATTTAACCTAAAGGATAAATTGGGAAACTTTGGAAAGTTATGTATATGGGTAGAATGAGTAAATCTCAAAATGAGCATTATGTAGTCTTATAGACTATCTTCCTTTATGTATGTACACATATAACTATATCTCAGTGGGTAACATAGGTTATATAGGGTCTTAAATACTGGTAGATCCTGACTTGTGATGTGACACTGTTCTGATAATTGTGTTGTAAGTTGATTCTGAAGTAATTCAAATAGCTTTTTTTTAGTTTTCATTATTGCCCTTAATTATCAGTATACTTATAAATACGACCTTTATTTGTACTTGGAGGGAGGGTGCCCCCACCATTGCCATAGGGTTTCTATACATAGTATAGGGTTTCTAAGGCCACAAATCTTTATGGGAGCAGAAAGCTTCATCGTTTTCTTGCAGAGTAACTGGTAGATTTGAACTGCTGACCTTTTGGTTAACAGTACAGTGCTTATGGTACAGGGGTCCTTATGTATGGAGGATGAAAACATTATATACAAACTTACAGACAGATATATTTTGATATATACATAAAAACATAAAAGATACAACAACAACAACAAAAAAGGAAGGTCGTAAATGCTGTTTATTTTAACTACAATATTTCCTAATCAGGAACTACCTGTATAGTGTGAATATATCTGCATATGCATGCACACATATGTTTATATTATGGGTGATTACATGTATTATGCATAGTCATAAATGAGCTGTATAAATACTCAATTTATGGATGGCTGAGAGGGCAACACTTTTTGACTCATGCATTTCTAATTTATATGATGTTAACAAACATAGTTGACATAATGCTTCCATTCTTTCATGGTGAAGAAAATAGTTTTCTTTAATCTTCTTGGCTTGTTTTAATTTCAAACTCCAGTTAATCTGAGGAGGAAATTTAGTCACTGAATTATACTATAATCTCAAATGTACACCCTCTGTCACCAGCTGCGAGCGAGATGAGTGAAACAACTTTATTCTAATTTCAAGTTCACTGGAGCACTTGCCTCGTGTGCTTATGGGACCCCTGATCCAACAGGCATTGGGATGATTCACAGAAAGTTCCAACTAGGTCTAGGACATGTGAACACAGACTTCCGAGGCTAGGCTATGAAAGAAGGAGGGTACGGTGTGGTGCCCCGACCCAAGCCATGGTATACTGAATAGCCTAGTATGCATGTGGAAATTGGACAGTGAATAAGGAAGATTGTACGAGAACTGGTGCATTTGAGCTATGGTGTTGGAGGTGACTATTAAAAGCATCAGGGACTGCCCGAAGAACAAACCAATTTGTGTTGGGAGAAGTATAGCCAGAATGCTACCTGGAAGCTATACTTTGGACGTATTACCAGGAGAGTCTAGTCCTGGAGAAGAATATCACGACTGGTAAAATAGAGTGTTCGAGCAAAAGAAGAAGACCCCCAATGGGATGGATTGGCACAGTGGCAGCAGCAGTGGGCTATAATGTAGCAATGATCATGAGGTTGGCACTGGACCAGGCAGTGTTTCGTTCTGTTGTGCAGAGGGTCGCTATGAGTTGGTACTGACTTGATGGCACCTAACAACAACAACAACTCAAGAAAGTTCTAGCTAAAGCCTACATCTCTTGGAGTTTTATGAAAAATTGTGCTTTGTGGGGAAACTTGAGAATTACTTCCTGGTAACCTGGAATAGTGGGTAATGTTTTCTGGTTATTGCTGTTGTTAAGTGCCATGGAGTCGGTTACAACTCAGAGCAACCCTGTGCAGGGTTTCCAAGGAGTAACTGGAGAGTTCGAACTGTTGACTTTGTGGTTCACAGTCCAGTGCTGATCTAAGTGTGCCACACTAGGAGGTGGTAGTAAGAAAACAGGAGACAAAGATGGAAACCTGTGTGGCCATGGAAACTGTTAGGGTCAAGGTAAGTAAGTATAGCTACTTCTCAAGACACCTTATCTACTTTTTGAGAGCTCTGAAATCACGTGACTTTGCCCCATCTTTGACATAAGCACTGTGCTCCGTTAGTGTTCATCTTTGAAAACCATGGCAGGTGCTGATTAAAGCCGTGTTGTTGTTAAGTGCCATCAAGTAGGTTTCGACTCACAACAATCTAGTATAGGGTTTCTGAGGAGCAGTTGGTGAGTTTGAACCACCGACCTTGCAGTTCAAACCAACCTCATGGTCCAGTGTTTTATCCTACAGTGCCATACCAGGTATATGGAATCTCATATTTTTCAACTTAAAGAAATGAAAATGATGCACTGTATTTTCATTTTTTAGTAGTGCCTTTACATACTTGCAGTTTCTGTCATGTAACACAGTCTTGACTTCATAGTCATTAAGTAGAAATTTCCTTAAAGCTTTGAATAAAGAGACACACCCTTGAAACTGACCCAGCTCCCTTCCAGAATTCACTCTGGTCAACTTGTCTTTCTTTCTTTCTTTTTTGTGTGAACTCTAAATACTCTTCCTGGTTGGTGATTATACATGGCAGTAAAATACTAGCTGGAAATATATTTGGATGAACTTAACTCTTGAGAAGCAGCTTAATAAGATGTTCTGAACAAAGATAAAGAGTATGATTCTACCACAGAAAAGGTGGGGGAAGACAGTGATACCAGCTAAAAATACATCAAATTATGGGTTTGTGTGTATTACTAATTTGAGGTTGTTGTATACAGTGTTGTTGCTATATATTTTAGAAAATGCTACCTATATAAGTATATGCCTGATGAAACACATTTGTGGAACAGAGCTACAGTAGCTGCCTTCTACAATTTCTGCTTTAGTTTTCACCTTTTCCAATATGTAGGTATGTATCAGCTTTTATGTAGAAAGAGATATGAAGGAAAAGGACAGAGGGAGGTATACGTTCATATAGTACAGCTGGGTCCATCAAACAATTGTCTTTGAGAAAATACATATCTAAATGGAAAACCACAAAAGAGGTGGTGGCTCAGCTACATGAATCCCAGAACCCCAAAAGTATGTGATTCAGACTTGGCCCCATGAAAAAGATCCAGTTCATTCAAAGAGATAAAATGAACGCAACTTAAAAACATGTAAGAAGCATCCTTTCAAAAGCATCGTTCTCAATGTAACTGTCTAGCTTCAGGATGTCAGAATAATTTCCATGATCAGTTACTTTGACTTGTTTCCCTATTTCTGGAGACTTCCTAAGACATTAAAAAGAAAGAAAGAAAGAAAGAAAGAAAAACTAAGGTTTGTAAACACTACATTAGAAGCCACCTTAAACAGCAATTTAGCTCTCTCTGTCACTGCTGTATGTTCTTGTGATGCTGTGGTGCCACCTTCACTCCATTTCTAGGTGACAAATGCTTGTACCTAAAAATCACTGAAATATAAAAAAGGCAATGACTTTGTACTTTTGGGTAGAAAAGCTGTAGAAAGGAAAGAAAGGGCAAAACCGAGAAGACTAACAGCAGGAGAGGAAGAGATAATGTAAGAAAGGAAATAGAAGAAAAACATTTCCACAGGGAGTTTTCCTCCTGAATCAAGAGTGGGTACCACTGTTGGCAGACTTTGGTGATATATCAGATTGTAATTGCTGGCAAAGTGCAATAGGAGAATGAATAGGACCATTTGCTTCTTGTCCTACCCACATGTCTTCAAGAGGGTCAGCTAAACCCCTGATTTCTGTTCTACAGTAAGCAGTTTAGTCATGTGAAGCTGCCTACTGACAGTTGTAGAATTCATTTCAGGTTTTGATTATTTTTTTAAATGAATCTTATTAAACGCTAGTTTTAATAAACATGAGACACTTGGGGCATACGTGCTGCGAGGTGCATGAGACATCCCACCTTGGTGCCTCCTGATGACAAACCTTACCTGATGTAGCACAGGGAGACATGAAAGGGATGTAACACAAGTTTGCTGGCCAGCAAATGGAATGGAGAGAGAAGGAAAGATGTCACAGTCGCAAACAAAACACACACACACACACATGAGGGAGCAACTCTTCTCCTCATTCTTCCCAGGATAATTTTTCCAGCAACTCTGCAGAGAAGGTTACCTGAATCTCCTATAATGAAAGAAGAGAAGTAAAACAAAAACAAGAGAGGAAAAACTCCTTGTTATAATTCTTTGGCACGATGGTCCTTGATCATTTACATATGTTTGCTGCTCCAAATTCCACAAAGCCAGTTTTGGTTTTGCAGTGACTCCCCGACTATTAACTGATCACAGTCAGAACCCTGCCTTCTTGCTTTTTTATTGAAGCAGGTGGCAGGGATAACTGCTCAGGGGCTCATAAGCCAGGAGTCATTGACTCATTGTGATTCATGGTGAGGCCAAATGTATTCCAAAAAGTGTTCAATGCCTGATTTTTTGAAGTAATTGCCAGGTTTTTCAAGTTTTCTGGAAGGGCTTGAACTGTCAACTTTTCAGTTAGCAGCTCAGTGCTTAGGCACTACCCAGGGACTCCCATGGGCTCACAGAATGTGAACACTGGCTTTGAAATCATCTCAGTTAGACTGATGACGTAATATAAGCCCAAGCTCTAGCAAATGGCAAAGACTGGTCTTGAACCCTGCTCTTTTGCACTGTGTACAGTGCCCTGGGCAGTATCTCATACCAAGGACACTGAAGACACAGATTGAATTACTTGTTCAAATATTACTGTTCCCAAGCTACTACACATGTTCCACCATGCAGGTTTACTGTACAGAACACTATATGGCTGACACTTTTCTACTGGCCTGAATGGGAAAACTTGCTCAGCAAAATGCAAGGCACCAAAACAAGGACCAGGTTCACTATGAATCACTGCTTTTCAAATGCTCATCAGAAGCCCGAATGACAAATCTAGTTGGTTGGTAACTAAGGAGTATTGCTTCATCATTATTAAAGTCTAAGAGAGTGGTGTTAGCTACAAACAAGAAAGGCGCGGGTTTGGTTAAATTCAGAAGTAACAGCTGAACTATTTTTACTTATAGCGTGTGAAAGCTGTTCCTGTTGAAGGAAAAAGTGGCATCTCATTAATGCCGTGGTGAGTGCAGCCACAGGCAGATTCATGCGGGCCAGCACCCAGAGCAGGCCAAGGGGGAGCTGGGGAGAGGAAAAGTGGTTTTCTCTTCAAAACAAACCAGGCAGTCACACAGACAGAAACCGAGCTCACAACACAGAGAGGAGCAAATGCCAAGGGAAGGAGATGGCAGGGATGGAGAGCACAGCAAACCAGGTTAGCACAGAGGCCCTGAGGTAAATCTTCACAAAGACCAGGACAGCCAGAGCAGTGGCTTTTTCTGACCCTAGTATGCTGATAATATCCACTCTTTCTTGATCAAGCAATAGGTGGCTGGGCTGAACATCCACCCAGCTCCTAATTTCACTGAGTTTGAATATTGTGGCTCAAACTGACCTTTTGGTCCACTGCTTATCCTATAGCACCACACCAGGACTCCCTAGTAAGCTTGTTGTTGTTGTTAGGTGCCATTGAGTCAGTACCGACTATTAGAGAACTTATGCACAGCAGAACGAAACACTGCCCGATACTGGGCCAATCTCACTACTGTTGCCATGCTTGAGTCCATCGATGCTGCCACTTGGCCAATCCTTCTTGTTGGGGGTCTTCCTCTTTTTCTCTGACCCTCCATCTTACCAAACATGATATCCTTCTCCAGCGACTGGTCTCTCCTGACAATATGTCTAAAGTATGAGAGATGAAGTTTGGCCATCTTGGCCTCCAAGGAGCAATCTGGCTGCACTTCTTCCAAAACGGATCTATTGGTTCTTTTGGCAGCCCATGGCACTTTCCATATTCTCCTCTAACACCATAACTCAAAGCCATCAATTCTACAGTCTTCCTTATTCACTGTTCAGCTTTCGCATGCATATGAGGTTACTGAAAACACCATGGCTTGGGTCAGGCGCACCTTAGTCCTCAAGCTGACATCTTTGCTCTTCAACACTTTAAA